GAGGGTGAAAGAGGCCAAAACCCGGAGATAGGAGAGGAGAGGTGGAGAAAAGAGAAAAAGCAGAGGAGGCGCTGGGGAAGCAAGAAGGGACTCGAGAGGAAAAGGAAAGAGAAACCACCAAAAGTCCATCAATACGGAGCCGTTACCTGAATCAGGCTCCAGCTGTACCGTGGAATCCTATGCAGCCATTAAAAAGCACGTAGTCGATCTATATTTATTGGCACGGAGAGACAGCTGCCATATACTGCTAAGCAAAGAAGGCTGCTTACAAAACAGTGGATGTAATAATAGCCCAAGTTTAAAAAATATTTTTGGCACAGAGAACAAGTCTGGAAGAACCTGTAACTCGTGGTTGGTGGGGGTGGAGGCGAGGCTTACAGGAGGTCTTATTCTCCTATTTATTGCTTGGATGGGGGAGTGTGCAATGCACAGCTATGACTTTCATAATTAGCCAAAACAATAACACAGAAAGAGAACAAGGATGAGATGGAATTGCTGGGAGAAGGGAAAGGAGGCGGTTGGTCAGGGAGCAAAGCAGCAGGGGTGGGGGGTGATGGGCAGAGACTGCAGACTTGGGGGAGGGAGTCTTGGAGGGAGGAGGAGGCAGGGAACTAGGTGGGCACCAAGCCCCAGCAGGATGTGCCAGTCGGCAGGGAGAGAGGCAGAGATCCCCAGGGATGGGGAGGGGGATAGGAATGGAGGAGTGGTGGCCCCGCCCCCAATCCCCCTCACCAATTGTCCCATCTGTCTGAGCAAGAGCTGCTGACTGTGCTTGCTGAGTCTCTCCCGGAGCCCCCCCTTAACAGTGCTGCACGTCCCGGAGGAGCCCCCCCATGAGCTTCCCCCCATCGCCCAGACTCCAGGACCACAGCATGGGGTTGTTTTTCTTTTTTTTACAAATTAAAACTGTATCTCCCCAATCTTGCAAGTAGGTTTGTAATTTTCTGTGCCAGAATAGCTCTGGGGGAGAGAAATCCTTGGGGGCAGAGTCTTTAATAACTTCTGCTGCCCAAGGAATCTGTGGGGCCCTGAAGGCTTAAGGAGAGGGTATGTGCCTGCATGCCTTGGGGGCTGGGACTTGGGGGGGGGCAGTCACAGAAGTAAGAAGACATCTACACCCAGCTTAGCCCCAGTCGCAAGACAATTGCCTCAGCCCTAGAGTTGCAGTACCTTAGACCCCGTTAACCAGGGTTGCATGGGTGAAGCCTATGCCCCCAGGGGCTCTCTCTAGCCTCCTGGCTGGGTGCAGAGGAAGGAGACAACATGCCTACGGTGGTGCGTTGCCTAACTCAGATCTGGACCCTCCCAGGGCCTCACTTTCCCCATAAATAAAACATGGGTCGGACACGATGAAGTTCCCAGTCTCTTTTAATTCCAACCTTCCCTGACATGCTTTCTTGGGCTCTCACTGTGTTTTTTAATTTTTGGAATTGGTAGCATTTAAACATGGGGAGATTTCACGTGGAAATCTGGATCCCCAGCAATATACAACTCTCATTCCTGCAGGGTAACCATTGGAAGGAACCCAAAGACGCTGCTCCCCAAAGATGCGCAGAGCCTCATGGCTTTGCCAGAGTCTCCGCCACCCTGACTTCTCTTGACCTGGCCTGCTTTGCTCTGCAGCCCCTGTGCCTGTGAGTTTGCAACCCCTGCTCTGGGCCTACCTCTGCCCTGGGCAGTCACACTGACTTTCAACGGCCTGTTAACATGTGCCTGTTTCCTTACTCACTGAATGGGTAAAAACCGCAGGCTTTGGGGTCAACCAAGTTAGGTCCAAATCCTGGCTCTAACTCTTCAGACCTTAGCAAGGGTTTTGGTCTCTGAGCCTCATCTGTAAAATGGGTGTTATAAGAGACTGTGCCTTATGTTGGGTTGTCCTATGGACTCAGATGATGCATGTAAAGTTCTCAGCACTGTGCCTAGCACATAGTGAGCACTCCATCCAGGTACACTGTTAGTAGTCACAGTGCACAAGCCTAGCTCGGGATGAGGCCACAGTAGGAATGCAGTTGATGCTTGTTAAATAAAAGAAGCAGTGGAGAGGAGTCCTGAGCAACAGATGAAGTTGCAGAGTAGAGGTTGCAGGCAGCTCAGGCCCATGGGGCCAAGGGAGGAAAGGCCTCACCGCCAATGTAAGGACAGACGTGGTGTGCGAGTCGGCAAAGCCTGCCGCCAGGGTCTTCGGACGTTACCTTGGCACCACCTTCTGGCTGAGGTGTGCCTCACACCCACCCCCTCCATCCACAGGCCAGAGAGGACACTACAGTGGGTTCATCCTCTTCGCTTATGTTTAGAATTGGCAGGAGACCCTTAGCATTCCTAGGGCCCCAGCCCTTCATCACACATCTAGGGGGAGAAAGCCCAGAACCAGAGAGTGACTTTCCCAGGGTCACACAGAAAGTTCCTGGCCGAGCTCCACTTAGAACCCAGAACTTGCTACAGGGGCCGAGAAGAGCAACCCCTTCCCGTTGTCAGGGATGCTACGGTATACAGGACTGTACCTTCTCGTGCGTGAGCTCTGCTGCCTTTTAGGGGAACTTCTCCCGGAAGCCAACTCTGCCACAAGGAAGAACTGCAGGTGGTTTATTCGGGAGTTGAACCGAAGAAGCCCCAGTGGGGGAGTGGGGGAGTGAGACGGAGCAGGCAAGGAAGCCAGTGCAGAGGGGCCGCTGGGGCTCCATCTAGGGGACCCAGAGACAGTATAGGACACACCTCAGATTTGTCTCTCGCAAGGGCAAGGAAGCCGGGGCATTTATCTTGCAACTTACATTGCTAGTTGGTTGCGAGGATCCCCCAGGTACATCTCACCTACAGCACACATGCACCAAGGACGTTTTCCAGACCGGGGAAAGCCCCAGGGCAAGCGATCCCAAGTGCCTGCAATAGGAAGCCGACTGCTTATCTAGGAATGTGGATGCCAAGGGTGGCAGTTCTCAAAGTGTGGTCCCTGGACCAGCAGCATCAGCATCACCAGGGAAACTTGTGACAAATGCAAATTCTTGGGCCCCACCCCAGACCTACTGAATTGGAAACACGGAGGTGGGGCCCAGCTACCTGTCTTTTAACACGTCTTATAGGCGGTTCTGACACATGGACAAGATTGAGAACCCCTGACCTGGGAGAAGACAAAGGAGGCATCAGAGCATCTGCTATGGGACTGGCTCCATTTCAGATAAAGAAACTGAGAGGCTAAGAGGCAAAAGTGACCCATCCAAGGTCACACGGATAATAGGTGGCAGAGGTGGGTCTTTTGTCTCTTTCCGCCATGCACAGAAATGAGTAACTTTCCCTACGTTTTCATAAATGGGCAGCATTTGGACTCTAGGTAGGGGAAGAGGGTGAGGTCTCAAAGCTCCCCTCCCCCCCAGCCCACAACGCCACCACTTTGCTCCGCTTTCTAAACCAAACGTCTCCCCCTGGTGCATCCAAATGGCTCTTGAAGCTCTTCTGGGAAGCCTGCCAAGCCAGGTGCCCCTCTCTTGGCTCCCAGCTGCCCTCACAGCCTCCATCGGGGACAAGCCCTCTCCACCCCCACCCTCTAGGCCGAGGGACACACTGGAAAAGTCCAAGGCAGCTTCTTTGGGGGGAAAGGTTGAGATCCCTGGGTTAAACCAGCCTGGCCTCACCCTCACCACGACTCTTTCATCTTTGTGCCGCTGGGCTTTGCATTGCTCGTCCTTCTCCTTCTTGTCCTACAACCTTCTTCCCCTCCCCTCCCCTCCCGTCCCCTCCCCTCTGCTCCCACTCCATCTGCTGCTCCTCCTGGCTAGGCTCCCCCTCAGTTGGCACAGCAGGAAAAGAGAACAGGACGGTTTATTTTTATCCTAAGATACTGCTGGCGGGGAAGGGGGCACCATCTGACCGAGAAGCAGCAGCTCTGGTAGCAGTTGGGAGGTCAGAAGGAGGGGGGAGGCCCAGGAGCTCCCTGGGAAGGGGCTATAGATGTAGGTTCCAGAGAGCAGGCAGGTCTGAGAGAAGCAGTGCAGGACCAAGACTGGGGAGCTCTGGGCCGCTCCACTACCAATTGCTGTGTGACCGTAGGCCAATCACTTCACCTCTCTGGGCCTCCATTTCCACCTCTCTTAGAGAGGGAGGGAGGGCTGCAGGCCCTGCCTGCCCCGAAGGCTGTTGTTGTGAGCAGGAATCAAATGGAGAGAACCCTTTGCAAACAGGATGTCAAATGTGAGTGCCCATGGAAACCGCCCTGGCGGGGCAGCAGCCTGAGCACATTCTTATCTATCCTCAGAATGTGCCCCAATTCTGTGGGCCTGACACCACGTTAAGCAGCTCATGTCACCAAGCACGGCCACCCCCCTGTTTCTTTTTACATGTTTGATGACTTTTTAATTACATAAGCATTATGTGAATTCACTCTCCTTTTGGGGAAAAAAAATGAAGCATTATGGGAAAGCCAAATCTTCCTTTAACCAACCCTCCCCCGACCCTTCTTCCCCAACCCGGACATTACAACTCTTCGAGCTATGCATTTTCTTGTATCCTTCCAGAACCCTCGTTATACCGACATATATAATCCATATTATGTTTATACACATATCCATAGACGGTATATCACATTGTTTTTCCCACGACAGTGTTTTTCAGATCCTGTTGTATAAATATATTATAATTTTATTTAGCCAGTCCCCTGTCGGTGGACAGTTAAGTGAGTTCCAGTTGTTTCTGAATATCCACAACGCTGCTCTGGATATTCGTGTATATGCCTCCTTGGGCTCATAGAAACCACCCTGAGGCAGCTGGACATTGAGCTGCTGGTTGGAGGGTTTGGTGGATATTACTACATGGTCCCCGCAAAAGTTTTGCCTCCATCTTTAAAAGCAAGTTGGAAGATTGAATGAGCTTCAGGGATGGAGTTCTCCGAGGTGAACTGTCTCTGAACCGCAGGGGTGCAGGCAGAGGTGGATGTGCCCAGTGCCAGCCCCTCGCCCTCCAGCCGCAGCAGCAGCTCCAGGCTCCCCGGCCATGTGCCCCTTGGCCCACACTGCCACGCTCCTGGACACGCACAGCCTCACTGTCTCTCCTGCACCGAGATGCGGCTCTCTTTGCCATCCTCCTGGGTGACTGGCTGGCACCCGTGTAAGGTCTCCTGCACCGGAGCAATGGAGTGGGGTCCAGGAAAATCCTCCAGATAAAACGTCTCCTCAGGAACCTTAGGGTGGAGGGCCTGGGGAGCCAAGGCCTGAGGTTACCCCCAGCAACACCTCTGAGGAGCTCTTCCCTCAGAAGCAGATCCTCTTCCCAAACCCCTTCCCCTTTCCCAAACGGAGGCTCAGGGCTGATTCCATGGGCGCCTCCTGCCCCCTGCTGGCCACACCGAGGGTGTCAGGCAGCTTCCAGAGTGGGAGCCCGTGGGTTCAAGGAGCTGCCTCTCCAGGCCCCATCCACGGACCCCAAACCAAGGCCCAAAGATGTGGTTCCCCACATACTGAACGCCAGAAAAGAAGAGCAAATGTCAGATTTTGCCACTGGTGCCAGGGCAGCTCCATGGGGAGGTGAGCTCTGGAGATGACAAAGGCTGGCACCAAGGGACTGAACAGGAGATCCCTGGAGCACCAGGGTCCAGGGGAGAGTTCTGCTGCCACCACACTGGCCACAGGGACACACCCTGAATCAGTGTTACTGCCATCCAGGCAACAAGTCAGTCTTTCTTTCCAGTTTGCCAAAACTCTGCCCCAGTTCCCAGGGGTGACCTACCTTATTTTCTGTCTCCTTGGCCACCTTTCCTAGAGAGAGAGAAAAAAATGCAATGCGGAGTTGATGAGGCCACAGACTAGATCAGGAAACAGGTGGCCAGTCCTACGGTGCCTTCTCCTCCCTCCCTCTCACATCACCTCCCCACCTGGGAACTCACTGATACAGGCAGACACCAACAGAACAGCAAACAGGATCCCCATCGTGACAGGGATCACCACCAGGGCTCTCATCCGATACCGCAAACCTACAAAAATGGAGACTTCAGCGATGGCTCCCCATCCCCACGCCCAAAGCTGCTGCACCTTGCGGGACTCTCAAATCCTTCGTGTCTGAGCTCATCTACATCAGATGTTTCAAACAGGTAGCCTGGTAAAATGTGGCCAGCAGATGTCTGTAGTGTGATCAGCACATTTAAAAAATTTTTTTGAAATATTTGCCAACATTTTAAAACTGGGAGATTGCATATTTAAATCTGGATATCTGGTTTCTCCTAGAAATTTAGAAGGTCTAGCCCCAGTGGGCCAGCAGCCCCACCTGGCACCCATTGGCCAGAACTGAGTGATGGTAGCTGTCTCCACTGGCTCGCCACACTCCCCACCCCTCCCTACTCTCTGCCCAATGCTGAGGTCCAGCATCATTTATGTCTGCACTGCTGCCTTTGTTATAGAAGAATGGAGGGGAAAGTAAAGTATTTCTTGTACCTAAGTCTCTATTCTACATGGGAAGATGAGAAAAAGACCAAGAGACAGGTCAGGGACTAGGGTGAAGCAAGTGAGACACTCGCCTTGGGACAAAACTTAAGGGGGCACAAAAAACTCAGTAATCAAGATACATAATATTTTAATGTCATGTTTTGAAAAATCAGATCAGCAGACATTGGCCCACAGGCCAGCCGTCTGTTTTTTAAATACTGTTTTATTGGAACCGAGGCTGGGATTAAGACGAGGTGATTGAGGCAGGGTCGTGCAAGAGCAGGGTCGGATCTTGTCTTTATTTAAATTTTGATATTTTGTTCATTATGGATTTTTTTGCATTAATTTCAATTTTTTAAAAAAATATTGCATCAAAATGTTATCTATCTTGATTACTGCGTTTTTCTGTTACCCCAGGAAAGTGCCTCGCTCAGCTCACTCGAGTCCCAGCCCTGCCAAAAGGAAAGTGAATTTTAAGAAAAAGCAAAGAGAGTGCATTTTTCTTACTTCTGACCTTTTTCATTTATTAACATGACCTGCCTAGTCCCTGTAGTTATTTGAGTCTGTGATCTGTGCTGTCGGCCAGCCTCCTCATTCTAAAATCAAAACTGAGGCCCTGAGAGGAAACAGTGTCACACCATGCTGGCACTCGAAGTGCAGGGTGGCAGACTAGCACTGATGGAACACCTCCAACGTGCAAGAGCCCGTGCCAGGCGCTTACACCAACCTGCTAAGGGAGGTGCTGTTATCGTCCCATTTTAAAGATGAAGAAACTGAGGCTCAGAAAGGGGAGGTGACCTGCCCTGGCTCCACAGGTAAGTGGCAGAGCTAAGATGCCACAACTCCAAACTGCCTCCTCCTGTTACTTCATTTCCCCTCCCTCTTTCCCCACCAAGGGTTTCTATGTGCCTCTGTCTCCCCCCTCAGTTCTCCACCCTCCTAGCCTGCTGCCAGGGCCCATTCTCCAGGACTCACCACAAACAGCATCAGTCTTGTTAGTCCCTGCCTGTAGCTCCACCAGGCCTTTCGTCTCGCAGCTGTGTACAGACACATGTGCGCACACACACACACACATACAAAGAGACATTAAGTTTCCCCAGTCATAAGATTTCCAACCCCAGTGGGAGACAGTCAACAACAACAAGTCCAGGTTCACTGAGCAGCTATTACATGTAACCTCCTAGGCTGGTTATTATGAGAATGACACAGACTCTGTTCTTATGGAACTCAGGAGTGCAGAAAAAAGATTGTTGCACATCTTGAAGGAATAATAATAGGAGAGTCTCTAAAGAATGCCAAGCTTTGTAATAGAGGCTAAAGTGAACCGGTAATTGTTCAGAGAAGAGGAGACAAAATCCACAATGGCTGGAATGGAGAGATGATGAGTTCTGCCACATAATTCTCTGCTGTCCTGTATATCACAGGATGTTTAGCAGCATCCCTGGCCTCTACCCACTAGATGCCAGTGGCATCCTCCTCCCCAGTCGTGACAACCAAAAATGTCTCCAGATATTGTCAAATGTCCCCTGGGGGAAAAAATTGCTCAGTTGAGAAGCTCTGGTTTAAGGGTCATCCAAAAAGACTTCCCTGGGGAAGTTAGATCTGAGTGGACCCTGGAGGATGTAAAATTCAGAGCAGCAGTACATTCTAGCTAAGCAGGACAATGTGATATGAGGGATTAGGTGAGCGGCATGCCAGATGGTGTTAGGGAACTATGTAAAATGGGTTCTTTAGAACCAGATCACTGATAATCAGCCAGGAAGGTTTTGACTGGATTCAGCGGGTGAGTCACATCAGCATCCAACCCTATGACTTCAGTAGCGAGAGCACTCAGCTGGCCAGAGAGCTCACAAGAGGAGAATTACAGAAAAGTGGCCACCAGCAGGCCACTGCAGGAGTCGAGATATGAGATGATGAAGACCCAGTCCAAGGTGGTCCCCGGAGGAGTGGGGAGGAACAGACAGAGAAAGACACCGCAAAGAAGAAAACATCTAAAGTGGAGAAAGAGAAAGAAGCTTCAAAGTAAGCACACGCATGAGAAGAGTCTTACATGAGAAGAGTGCCCAAGAGTTTACAAAACACTTTTACATGTCTTTTCCTCAAGCCTGAGAGAGAAGGTCATGCCCACGGTCCAAATGAGGACACCGAGGCTCAGAGAGATGAGGGTCACACACTGACACAGGGTCACACCCTTTCTAAGCTGCAGCAAGGGTGGAACCCAGTGCTCTGACTGCACTACACCAAGGTGCCTCCAGTTATCATCCAGCATTTATTGAGCAGCTACTATGCATCCGGCACTGTTCTAGGCATAAGGGATGCAGCAGTGGAAGAAGAAAAAAGCCAAGTCTCTACATTGAAGGAGTTTGCTATCTACTGGAGAAAGGCAGACAGTAAACAAATAACAAAGTACGTATGGGATGCTACTACTGTGTGGACTCTATGTGTGTCTGCATGTGTGCATTTATTTGTCTGTACATAGAATCTCTGGAAGGACACACAGGAACAGGGGCTGCCTCCAGGGAGAACTGGGTGGCTGAGGGACAGGGTAAAAGGGAGACTTATCTTGATAGGCCCTTTTGTGCCCATGTGCTCGTCTTACCCATTTTTAAAAATTCAATGTAAAAGTTAATCGGGCGTGTGTATAAGGGTATTCCAGGCAGAAGAGTTTGATGCAAGAGAAGGAACAATGTGTTGAGGGGATTGCAAGGAGCGTGATGCGGGGAGAGGTCAGGAAATAGAGCTGGAAGGTCAGAGGCCATGTGAAGGAGACTGAGTTTCATCCTAGAGGCATAGAGAATCATGAAACATTTTAACTAGGGAATGCCATGATCCGAAATGAGCCGTAGAAAGCTCACTTTGGCAAAACAATGGAGAACCAGCTGAAGGGGAGAGAACAGAGGCAGGGTGGCTGGTGAGGAGGCTAAGACATCATCTAGACCATGGTGATGAGGCCCAAACTAAAGTGGGGACAGTGTAGATGGCGAGAAGGAGTCGTCCCAAAACATTTGGAAGGCCAGACGCACAGGACCTGGTGACTGATTCGGGGTTGGAGGTGAGGGGGAACCATGGGACGAGTGCCCATGGACATGATGGTGGCTTTCACAGATGGTGAGGGGAGGGGGAAGGTGAGTCCATTTGGGGCCTGTGGGTCACCTGCGTGGAGGTGTACTCTCGGCAGTTGGATATGACAGTGTGGGACCCAGGAGACAAATCTAGACAGAAGATGTTGATTGGAAACCATCCGAGGAGATGGTAGCTGAAGCCATGGATATGGATGAGATGGCCCAGGGGAGGCAGGCAAAGTGATTGGATAGTAGAACCTAGAACAAAGGCCTAGAAAATGAGTTAAGGAGGAAAAAGGAGAAGGAGCAGAGGAGGGGTAGATGGAAAGTAAGAGAGGTGTCACAGTTTCCCCAAGAAGGGAAGATTGAGAGATCAACAGTGTCTATTACCACCAAGAGAGAGCAGGCAAGAAAATACTGAAAGGTTGGCCATCTGGTTGGCCACGAGGTCACTCTAGGAGTTCTACAAGTGCACGAGTGTGTGTGGACACGTGGCGCAGGGGCTGAAGGACAGGTGGCCAGAGAGAATGGAAGCAGGTCCCATGCCCCTCTTGGGACAGGAAACACAAGGGCTGAATCCTTATACCTTGTCCAGGAGTGACACTTTTCAAAAGCAGATGATACATTGGAGAAGAAGCCGACTGGACAGGGCTCGCAGATGGTATCAGAAAGCCCTGTAGCTGGGAGGAAGGAGGAGGCATTAATCATCCCAAGGACCACCTGTCCGGCCCTTGAGGGAATCGGTGGACAGGCAGGGCAGGAAGAGCCGCCTGCTCTAAGCACCCTTCCCCCAGCATATCGCTTCCCCGACTGCTGCAGCCCCTAGGAAGGCTCCTTCCACTGCCCTCCCAAGACAGACACCCATGGCGGCAGGTGGAACGAAAAAGGTTCCATTTCCTGCTCACTCTGGCAGAGATTCCACGTAGGTTGGAGTCCCCATTCCCTCCGCCTCTGGGGCTGAGTGCCCACTGCCCAGCCCCTCACCTTTGGCCCTTGGCTCCTCTGTCTTGCCTCTAGAGCTGATTCCCAGACAGGCCACTTACCGAGCTGCTTGACCCCAAGACCAGGGGGGCACAAGCTGTGCAGGGTGCAGCTTTCACAGGCATCGCTGGAACAGTGTTGGCCTTCATGACATGTGCAAGTGGCGTCTGTTTTCGAGGTGCCCTCCCTCTGGACCCGGAGGCCTAGGTCTGAGCAGAGACAGGCAGGAAGGATGGGAACTCTTTGCTGGCCATGCTCGGGGCCCCGCTCCTCACACATCCTGATCTTTTTTTCTCAGACCCTCGTCCAAGTAGGGATGGCGATCAAATTAAATAACTCAGACTCCAACCAATCAGAACAGACCTTGGCTATAAAAAAAAAAAAAAACAGAATGGGGGCCGGCCCAGTGGCGCAGTGGGTTCGAATTCTCGGGTTTGGATTCCAAGTGCAGACCTACACACTGCTCATCAAGCCATGCTGTGGCAGCGTCCCACATACAAAGTAGAGGAAGATTGGCACAGATGTTAGCTCAGGGACAATCTTCCTCAAGCAAAAAGAGGAAGATTGGCAACAGATGTTAGCTCAGGGCCAATCTTCTCACCAAAAAATACCAGAATGGCTGCATGGTCAGGAATGAGCTGGAATATCAGCCTGGCTCCCAAGTGCCCCTTCCCCAGCAGCCCACGCACTGGGGTCGCAGTATTTGTGCTGGTGACAACGGTTCTCTCTGTTCCAAGTGTCTAGGAATTCGCCTTCATTGCAAGGAGAGCATTCTGTTCCAGTGATCTCCGTGCAGTCATGCACCAGTTTCTCTCCTGGAAAACATCAGCAAATGAGGCAGCTCCAGCCAATTCAATGAATCAGACACTTACCAAAAACCGACCAGGCTGGGCTTTAGGGTGGGGGTATTCAAAGGGGACAGTCTTGGACCCTTCTAGCCTTCCTAGTCTGGTGAGGGACATGGAAGAGATAGGAACCCTAGTCCTGGGTAGGCAGAGAGGGAACCCAGAACATTCTGACAGCCCTGGGCAGGGATGGAAAATCCCAGGGGTTATTGAAGACTCGAGTTTCAGTTGAAACATGGGGTGTGCATCTGCCAACAGACCAAGAGGGGTCCCACTATAGAACTAGAGGGTTGGCATCTCACCTGGCGGGCACAAATTACAGCACCGACTGCTTGTTAGGTATTGGTTTCCTTGGCACACAGTGGGTGGTTCTGGGTGGACCTACAAACAGAATCGGGCGATTTGAAGGGATCTTGAAATCTCTGCTGTAGCCTCCCTGGCAGGAAGGTGGAAATCAGCCAGGACAGAGGTTAGAACTGAAGTGGAAGTCCAAAGCAGAAAAATGGAGGCTGCATATAACTTGGTGTGTTTGTTTTTAACTAAATTTCCAACTGGTATGATTATAAAAGCACAGAGAATCATTCTGGTATTCTACAAAGCGATTGCACTGGAACCTCACACTATTCTCTGAAATAAACAGATCTTCCTTTTGGCTTGATTCCTGAGTCCTTCCTCTTCCCAAAGACCCAAAAGAACAGGAGGACCCCAGCACCTCCCCTGGAGTGCTGAGGCTGGCTGGCTTCAGCTGGTCCTAGTCTTGGCTGGGGCTATATTTAGCACCTGGCCTCTTCCTTCTAGACTTCTGCTCCCCACCCTCTTCCCCTCTCCAAGCCTCATCATGTTTTCTCCCTCCAACCCCTCATCATCTGATCATCCAACCCCTCTTTCATGAAATGCCAGGATTGTGAAGCTGCAAGGATAAAAATCATATTCTTTCACTTTACAAATCGTGAGACTAAGGTCCAGGGTCACTTACCCAGTGTCACTTACCCAGGGTCACACAGTGATAGAATCCAAATGAGAACTCAGGTCTCAGTACTCCCTCTCTCCATCAACTTGGGTCTCACCTGCACTATTTTTACTATATCCAGGTACCACCCATGCTATTAATTACTTCCTGTTACTCTAAATACATTTATTTTAAATGGGAACCTATCATCGCCATGAGAGAAGAACCAGTATCACTTCTCATAAATGAAAGGTAACCCTAAAAATAAATTCAACAGAAACAAAACAGTGTTATTAAACCCCAGCTGGCTGCTTCGCTTGCTGACAGCCCTCTGCCCCAGGCCTGCTCTTGATTTTTGTTTAAAAAGGAGGATTAGCAAGTGCTCAAGAGGTATTAACTATATTCTAGCTCCAGAGACTTCTTCCTTGAAAATATGAGAAGGATTTTAAACAGAACTGTAAAGTAAATCAATGTTGCTTACAGATTTATATATATATTTATATAGTTCTATATATCCATGCACTTCCTAAAACCTTCCCACACTTTGGGAACACCCAATGAAAACAGCACAAGTTTGAGTCAAACAGCTTAAGGCTCCAATCTTGACTTTGTAACACTTACTAGTTATCTTCCTTCTCTTAGCCTCAGTTTTCACATCTCTAAAATGCCCCACAGATTAGGTTATGAAGACGAGAAAGAATATGTGTATATGGCCTGTACAATGTCATAGTAGGTGCTCATTAAATGGCAGTTTTAATTATCATACATACGTGAATATCTACTTGGATGCTATCTGGCTGACTGTCCAGAATCCTGCCTAATTGGTGGCTTGCATTCAACCTGGGTGGGCAAATTACTTACAGAAATGTACCTTACCCCAGATGGAGAAGGAGGTGGAAAAGGCTGCTGCCTCCACCATCATATCACAATGCACCGCCCTGTGCATGTTCTCCCTGCAATCCTTCCCACCACACTCTCAGAGCAATGAAACTCCTTTATGCCTTTTTCAAACACATGAGAAATACAGCTCCTCCTCTGAAAGTTTAAATCCTGAGTTCCTACTCCATAGCTCCAGTCCATCTGATGCAAAGAACCCCAGGACCGTGGCTTGGAGACTCTCACCATGTGAGAGGCAGGCTCAGGAATCAGGCAGACGTAGATTTATATCCAGGTTCCACCTAGCTATGAGAATTTTGGCAAGACATTCCCTCTCTCTGAGCCTCAGGTTACTCATCTGTATAATGAGGGAGGGAGTTGAAAGAAAACGGACAGAGAAGGCACATAAAGCATTTTGCTCAGAGCCTGACACAGGAAGCTGTCAATAAATAGCCCCTGCTATTGTTGTTGTCACAGCCCAGTCTCTACCTGGAGCCAAAACTGGAAGTATGCTCTTGAGAAGCCCAGACTACCTTTCACCCTACCTCCCTTGGCTCTTTCTCCACTCCTTCCCACAAGAGCCCCCTTCCTCCTCTCTCTGGCTCCACCCTCTTCCTGCCTCCTTTCTCCCTAAGAGCCATTGCTTGGAATGAAAATGAAAGCTCTGGGGCCAGAGCAGCTTCCCTACTGACTCTCTTCCCTTGTTGCTGACCCCCCACTACATGGGTCATTCCTGCGAGACTTCATGCCAGAAACTACAGCCCTCGAAAGTAGGGGGAGCCCAGAGGGGTTGGGATGAGAGGGTCAGGTACTTGGGGGATTCCCAGCCTCCAGAATGAGGAACTACAAAAATATATTTAAACAAAAAGTGAGTCAAGTGTGGGCTTCTGAAAATCCCGGAGATATGCTTGGTTGGGTATATCTGAGCTCTTCTGGTTTCTGGAGAAACCCTTGATGGTCTCTTACCCTTTCTCGGGTCTTATGAACTGTTCATTTCCCCCAAGGGTTCCCTATGTCATCTTAAATTCAGGAGGCAGAGACAGCCTTGGGTATACCAACTAGATTGGATCACCCAGGATTTGGGGGTGGGGGTGGGAGTGTTAAAAGCTTGCCTTCTCAAAGAGGTACCTGGGCCTCTGCACCCACCCCTTGTTCCCACAAGATGCCCTAAAAGAAAGCAGCCCCAGCTGGTAAAGAGATGATAACAACTCACAGAGGCTGGCATCTGTCCACAATGGGAAAGAGACAGGAAACCGGCCAGATCCGCCCCTTCCCTTGGCCGGCCTCTCTTCCCACTTCCGAAAGCCCTCACCAGTCTCCGCGTGTCAAGGCTCTGAGGCAAACCTAGACTCTAGCCTTTTGACCAAAGGCTTGAGGCTCCCAAAACCCCAACCCAATCCGCACCGTCTATGCACGTTTCCTGCAGTGCCCCCACTACGACGCGCCCTCTGTGGGCTACCTGAGACCCCAACCTGGGAAGAGAGAGAGGCAGCCCACCTCATTCAGCCAGGAGCTGGGTACCTTACCCAGCTTCCACGCACCCTCCTATCCCCCCAAAATCAGCTACGAAGGTCCCCTCCCCGAAGTATCGCTTCTCTTCCCGGGAAGTTCCCCACTCCCAAACTCCCCGGTCGGGACGGAGCAGAAACGCAACTCACGGTGGTCAACAAGCAGCCCCAGAGCAGACACTGCAGAGGCAGACGAACCATGGCGAGGAGAGAAACAGGCGGCGGAGCCGAGGGCGCGTAGACAGGGTCTCTAGTAACTCGCTTGCCCCAGTCTGTGGCCCCGCCCAGGAAAGGGGCGGGGTCTTCGGGGACCAATCGCCGCAACCAGCCTCGCTGACGGGGCGGAGTTCTCGGCGACTCCCTGCCCTGGGATTTCCCCAGGACATTCCCGGGAGTTCAATTTCCCCGGGAGTTTAGGGACGCGTTTTGGGAGGTGGGGCTGGTCCCAGGGAAAGCCCTTCCTCCTCGCCCCCTGAGACTACAGAGGCCAAGCTGAAGAGGGCAAGGAGCCAGCCGGCTCCCAGCGGGGGCGAAGGGAGGGAAGAGAGAGCCCCACCGGTGCTGGGAAGATGCCACAGGGACCCCCACGGTTCTCCCCCACCGCCTCCGGGAATCCCGACAGAACCGAAAGCACCTCCACCGCGGATGGAGGGACCTGAGGAAGTTCCCCCCATCCCAGAAAACGGGAAGGTCTCAGCTGGGGTGTGGGAAGAAGGACTGGGGAGGCGTTTCAAGGAAAACAGTTTCCCAACTTAGAGTTTCTCTCTCTTTCAAAGGAAATTCCCTCGTGTGGGCGCAGCGTCCCAGCCTCGCCATCCATTCATTCATCCATCCATGCGTCCCCACCAGCTTCTCTTCCCTCCCAGTTCCGATCCGGCGCCTGGAGACAGGCGTTTAGAGTAGATCCCTGTCATGGGATGGTAGGACCCCTTGAGAGTCTTAAGGAAACTCGGGACCCTCTCGTTCTGCGGAAACACACACACCCTTGTGCCTACATTTCCCGGGGTTCCCAGCCCTCCAACCCAATCTTGAACCAGTATTAATACTCTCTGCAGTACCCAACACCCGGATTCTGGTCTAGGCTCTGCCTCTGATGGGCTGGGTTCCCTTGAGCCTCAATTTTCCCTAATGAAACGTGAGGAGCTTGAACTAGACAGTAGTTGAGGTGATGACCCTCTAAGCTCTGAATTTCTGGACCAGTACAAAAGGCCAGGCTGTGCAGATCAGGGAGGATGGGAGAGGAGGGAGCTGCTAACCCCATCCTCCTGGCTTCTGCTGCAAAGGGCACATTTGCAGCCCTGTGGATCCTAATCTCTAGAATCCATCCCCTCTTTTCCATCCCCTGTGCTCCTGCCCTAATTAAGAGGCTCATCTTTCACCTGGGCTGTCCCCATAGCTTCACTCATTCACTAAGTACTTGTTGAGCCCCCACTATGTGCCAGGCAACTAACACTTTCTCTCTCTCTCTCGTTGTTCATACTGTTGGAGTTCTCTTTGTAAACTCCAGATCTGATCTGATCCGGGCACTTCACTGCTTAAAAACCTCTTTGGGCTCCCCTATGCCCCCAGAATAGTACAAACCCCTTCTCCAGGCACAGCAAGCCCTTCTCCACTCAGCCCCAACCCCTCTCCCCATGCTCACTCCTAGCCATGTCCTCCCATGCACATTGGCTTCAGCCAGGCTTGCCTTCTTATTTTCCAAACACACATTGTTTTTTCTTACTGTGTCTTGCTTTTTCCTTACTTCCCTTATCCTTCCTGGAACCAGTTTAAATTTCACTTCCTTTTCATTTAAGCCTCCTCTTAGCTCCCTGAGACAGAGGTAGATACTCCACTCCACCTTAGCCCCTCCCCCTGTTTCCACAGCATGAGGATGCTGAACTGGAACTCCATCTGCCCGGCCTCATTTGGTTGTGAGCTCCTGAAGGCCAGGACTGAATCTCTCCCAGTCCTGGGCACATAATAAGACACCAATATGCATTTGCTGAATGAGTGAATAAAGGAGCGAGTGGGTTAAGTAACTTCTCATTCTAAGCTCAGCTTCTGTCAGGAAGGATGTGGGGGCACAAGGTGCAAATCCAGTGGTCGCAACACAGACCTCAAGCTGGTGGTCAGACACTAATAATCTAGGAACGCTTGAAATCAGAGTCTAGGGGGCTTCCTGAAAGCCACCCAAACATGCCTGGGATGAAGAGAAACAGTAAAATATCTTTTCCCTTTTTAATCCACTTTGAGAAAAACAAGCACAGTTTTAATTCCTTCGGGAGTGGGGGGGCGTTACTATAATAACTTCAGCCATTACTTATTCTTTATTTGCTTGATTCCAAAATTGGTCCCTTCACAAAACTGCCTTGGGAAGCAAGTACACAGAATTAAAACATTAATTATATTATATAAAACATATCATAGCAGCAATTAAAGCAGCTTAAATTAATGTGTGAAAGAATAAATAGTAGCCTTCGGGTTGCCCCATGGGGTGAAGACCAGATGAGATAAAGGGAAGATATTTTAGTATATGCATCTCCCAAGGAGACATGTGCTGGCGGGCACAGGCCCAAAGAAGGCATAGAATCTTCTTGGGCCGAGAAGAGTATGCTGAAGGAGGAAAGAGAGAAGATGATTTATGGGGAGGGCAGCAATATTTCAGAGTCCCATCAAAGAGGGGAACTATGAAGGGTTTGATGATGGGAGTAGGGCAAAGGACATTCAAAAGAATGGGGACCTAGGATTTGTAATCAGATGAAATGGCCTTTGCAGGGGAGTGGGGGTCACAGGGCCAGGTGAAAGAGTGAGAAGCGTGCCTGAGGTCAAGTCCACAGCAGTGCCAGAATCCTAGCGACCAGATGGTTCTAATAGGCAAACCCAATTGTGTTGCTCCCAGCTTTGAAGCAACTCTCCAGAGCCCTCACTTCTTAAGCTCACAGGGCCTCAAGGCCATGGGCTTCCAGGTCTTCATCTCCTACTGTCCTTCCTGCCTTCAACTTGCTGCTCCAGACTGTGCTGTCACCTCTGCCTGGAAACCACTCTCCTTTCATGGAACCAACTCCGTCTCATCCTTCAAGACTCAGCTCAGATGCCGCCTCTCTGGAAAGCCCTCTCCAACAGCCAACCTGGGGTGTGCACACCTACCTCCCCATACTCCCTCAGAACCCTGGGGCTGCTTACCTAAGCAAGACTCCAGCCCTAGCGCACTGTATTTCAATTATTCTGTTTACTCCCAGAATCGGCGTATTAAGGTGACTCAATTTGGTGGGACATAATAATGAAGTTTTTTCCCCTAATCTCTGCCTTCAGCCACGCTGTGTTGAATCTCCCTTTTTCATCCATTAATGACATCTTGGGCAGATTGCATTACTTTTGGATCACTTTCTGTTGTTAAACCTCCCTCCTTGAAAGCTGTATTCTCAAACTCAATTTAAATCTCATTTTATCTTCTTGCTTACTCATCCAAGGATTGACTTGAGCCAAGATCTTCCCTGCTTGGATAAAAAGTGGGGGCAGGGGGGACATGGCCTGGTTGGGAGACATGCCCCAGCACCCTCCCCCGTATTGAAATTGGGAGGAGGGAGTGGGAATGACTCTCTGCAATAGCCGTCTCCCTGTTGGATGACCCTGCTTCCCTGGCTAACCCAGAGTGGCCAGTGTTCATATATGGTATCTCAGAGGCACATGAGTAAGTTTCTTGGGGGCTTCTCCACTGCACAGTTCTCTGACATGGGGCATCCAGCTCAGGCTTGAGCTTTCCTACCTCGCCCCACCACCTGGGCTCCTGCCACTGGTGGGACCCTCTTGCTCAGCAGTCAGCCTTGCTTGGGTGGGATACCAGAAAGCCTGGCTAACTTACTGCAGTGTCCCGGTAAGTTAGCCAGGAAGTTAGCTTGACCCAGAGAAACTCATGCATCCTGGCCAGCTGCTCAACAATGCCTCCTCTCTCCGCCTCTCTTCTCCCCTGCTAGCTGGCACAGAGGGACATCAGCAAGTCTACTACCAAGTAGACCCCCACTGGGGAACAGCGTCCTAGTATCCCCTTCTTGAAGTCAACCCTTAATCTCCATGAGGGATTCCCAATTAAAGAGTAGGGAGAAGGGAATCATCTTCCACCATAAACACTATACTCCTCAATAAAACGAAAGAACTCCTCCCTCCCCAGGATTATTATATGGACAAGGAAGAGGAGAGTAAGGTTTTAGCTAGGGCATATAGGACCCTTTTAATTCTACCCCTTTTAGTAAACTTTGGAGGGAAAGTATCTGGCTTCCATTTGGAATGCAGGGGCCATGGGGCCATGGGCCATAGTGCCAACTCACACCCAACTTGATTCCTGAAGAGGAGGATCTTTGTAGCCTGATGCCCACACAGAGCCCAGGCACACGCTGGATACTGAACAAGTGTTTGTTGAGCGAATGAGAGACTATGAAGTAATGAGACTGAAAGGATCCACCAGGATCCACCTGCTCATTCCCACACTGTCCTGGGTTGCTGCCCATCTCTACCAGATAACCGGGCTCTCTAGATGGGATTCCCAGGCCCAACTATGGACAAAAACCTTTCCCTTCAGCTCAGCAGAGTTGGGTTGGAATTTATCAAAGGGAACTAAGAAACTCCAGAACGAACCCAACCAGAAATTAAGGAAACCCGAAAGCCAGCAAAACAGATGGGTGAGTTGACAAAGTATAGAAGTTCTTTGTCAGGATCTGGTTAAAGCCACTTACTGACTTGGCTGATCCTGATTCCCAGACAAGCAGACCTCAGGTCTGGTCCTCAGCCTTCTCTGGCTCTGATGTCTGGAATAAGAGATGGCTTTGTTTGGGGGAGGGGATCCAAATTCTTTACCATGGCCTCAAGATCCTGCATGATCTAGCTTCCCTGCCTGCCTCCACTCTCCCACTTGCTTGCTACCCCCCAGCCATCCAGGCCTCTTGGTTCCCACCTCAGAGCCTATGTCTGTTGTTCTCCCTCTGACGGAAATGCCCCTCTTCCCACTCTTCATCTTGTGACTCTTGCACCATTTGGGTCTCCTGGCAAATGGCACCTCTTCAGAGAGGCCCTCCCTCATCACCTCATCTAAAGTGAGTTCCTCCGCTACCAAACCACCTTCCCCACTGCTGTCCTCTCTTGTAGCACCTGTTCTAGTCAACGTTGTCATTGCAATCAAGAGAAGACGCAGCTGGTGAACTTAAGAAGAAGAGTACATTATTGGAAGGGTGTCAGGCGACTCATAGAATTGACGAGAAGGTTGAAGAACAAAACTCAGGCAGGAACTGCAGGAGGCAGG